TATGTACATATGTAGGGAGTGGCTCTAGAATTAAGCCTCGAATTGACCTGTGGCAGAGCCACAAACAAGTCCCAGCTTAGAGGGCAGAGCCCTCTTAGCTTAATTAAACTTAACCTTATAGCACTCTCAAGATCCTTCCCGGGTAGCTAATGGGCTGTGGGAGATGCAGCAAGTGCTGCCAAAACAAGTGAAACTCAGAAGAGCATTGTAATTATGTTGACCACTACCTTGTTTTTCTCTGACTATAAAATAAAGCCTCAGCTTGCTGACTAGATCCTTCTCTGTGGCCTCATCCAGGCACAGGAGATCCATGGAGCCCCATCTTATTCTCTTTGTCTGTCTTTTCTTTAATCCTTCACCGCCCCTCCTCAGGCTCACTGACCCTTGGCTGTGTTGTCACTAAATATATATATATATACACACACATATATATGTATATGTATATGTATATATATGTATGTATGTATATGTGTATATATGTATATATGTGTATATATGTATATATACGTATATATGTATATATGTGTATATATATACACACACACACACATACACACATACATACATACATACATACACATATATACAGAAACCAACAATTCTGCTCCTGGGTTAGCCATTCCAGAGAACCTCCCACACAGTTCATGAAGGGGCATTTTTGCAGCTATTTGCTAGTGCTCTCTAGTGACGGCACATGGATGGAAGAAACACAGGGAGTCCATCACTGGGGAGTAGATGCATGAGCTGTGGGGATGGAGACCAGGGAGGACTATGCAGCAGCAAGAAGCAAAGGGCTAGATGATATAGTAACATGGATGAATCTTAAAAACATAATGCTGAGAAAAAAAGGAAGAGAACAACATGAGTTCTATAACATGATATCATTAAATATGCATGCACACACAGTTACCCTTGTTGGGGTATCAATCCTCCCCATGAAGTCAAAATCCACATGGAATATTAGACTCCTCCAAAACTTAACTACCCTAAGTATCTGTGGGGAATTGGTTTCAGGACCTCCACAGACACCAAAATCTGCAAATGCTCAGGTTCCCTATATACACTAGCATGGATCAATGCATACAGTTAGTCCTCAGCATCCCAACCATGGGTTAAAAACAGTACAGGTATTTATTGAAAAAAAATCCACATATAAGTGGACCCACACAGTTCAAGCCTGTGTTGTTTGAGGGTCAACTGTTCTCAAAAGGATATTACCCTGTTTATATAAAAACAAAAAGATTAGCCAAAACCGGTTTGGCTCAGTGAATGGAGCGTCAGCCTGCGGACTGAAGGGTCCCAGGTTCGATTCTGGTCAAGGGCATGTGCCTGGGTTGCAGGCACATCTCCAGTGGGAGATGTGCAGGAGGCGGCTGATCGATGCTTCTCTCTCATTGATGTTTCTAGCTCTCTATCTCTCTCCCTTCCTCTCTGTAAAAAATCAATAAAATATATTTTAAAAAAAGATTAAAAAATAAAATAAAATAGTTGCCTAGGTGAAAAAGGGAAAGGAGACTAAAAGGGGGAAAAAGGCAGAAAAATGGAGAGAACAGTTAATAGAAACCTCTGAACTGCTTTGATTTATGTTAGCTACAGTCATGAAAGCCTTCTTAATAACACAAGTACTTAAATAACTAAAGAATGAGGAGGTTTGTCCTTTGAGTTTCCCCACCCTTTATATCTAATATTTGTAAAACTCAAAGCATGTACCACAGATGAACGTGGTTACTGTAAATTCTTTCAACAGGGACATACCATCGTTCATAACAGGTTATTCTGGATTTTTTTCAGCACTTGACCTTGAGATTGCTACAGATATGAGCTGCTTGGTTATAAATTATTAAACCAACACCAGCCGATCTTTATCTTGAATAGCACTAATCTGAATTGGAAATGAGTCAGCATTATCAGCATCAGACATCATAATTAACATTCTGATACCAATCAGTGACTTGGTTCACCACTCTTCAGGAAATGTTATTTGAACATTTCTGAAAGCACTTGATAAAAACTTAGAAAACTCTGAAGTGTAAATTCTAATCTTGTTTATCAAAAGGCATGTTGGTGAAGGCCAGTTGTGTTACAGAGTCTAGCATGTGCTAAGGCAGTGGTAGGCAAACCACGGCTCGCGAGCCACATGCGGCTTTTGGCCCCTTGAGTGTGGCTCTTCCACAAAATACCATGTGCTGGCATGCACATACAGTGCTATTGAAACTGCGTGGCCCATGCGCAGAAGTGGGTTTTCGGAAAGGAGATAGACGAAACAAGTATACAAGAGGAGTGTGGACAGGAGAGTTGAAAGGGGTCGACCTCAGCGAACATACCTCAATCAGATTGAGGACATTTTTAGCAAAGTCCAGCTTAGGAGTACCCTAATTAAGTTAATAACAATGTACCTACCTATATAGTTTAAGTTTAAAAAATTTGGCTCTCAAAAGAAATTTCAATCGTTGTACTGTTGATATTTGGCTCTGTTGACTAATGAGTTTGCCGACCACTGATCTAGATGAGCCTCAACTGGGCTGACTGAGCACTTCAAGTCTCTGCCACGTAACTGTTCCATGCCAGTAGGCTACCTCAGGAATGTCCTCATGGAGATGACAGAAACACAAGAAAGAGCAAGGCCTCTTGAATTGTAGACTTAGAACCACCATACTTGCACTTCTGCTTCATTCTACTGGCACACGGTCAAGTCCAAAGACAGAGGCAGAGGACACTTCAAAGTTAAATGCCCAAGGGGGTGAATGCAGAGAGGGTAAAAGATCATTCAACCCATCAGCAAGACCTATCAATTCTACCTTAGAAATACTTTCCACACCTGTCCCATTTAAAGCAAATAGGTGAACCTGGTGAAAGGAAGGGAGAAAGAGAATGAAGAGGGAGGGTGGGAAAGAGAGGCTTTGTAATGACTTCCATGTGAGGACAGCCTGGGACCCCTTTCTCCAACCTCATCTCCTTCCATCCTTTCTTTCACTTTATGGTTGGAACACATCATAATTCCCCAACCTGTACACTATTTCAAGCCTCTGAGGTCTTACTTTTGCATCCAAGTAGAGTTGTTTATCCCTCCTTTTGGTACGGATTGAAAACCCCTGTGCCTTTCTCCTTTCCTTCTTCCAGGGAAAAAGAAGGGAGGCGAAGAGAGCAGATTGGTTTGGCTAAGTAGATAGAGTGTTGGTCTGTGGATTGAAGGGCCTGAGGTTCGATTCCAGTCAAAGACGCGGTGGGGGTTGGGGGTGTGACGGGGGCGGAGAGAGGAAGGCCTACTCTTGCACGAATTTTCTGCACCAGGCCTCTAGTTTTATATAAGAGACTTGAGCATTGGCAGATTTGGGTATTTGCATGGGTTGTGAAACCACATCATAACCAAGGGCAATGGTAGATACCAAGGGCAATGGTAGAGTATAATACGGTTGATAATACATTGATGTCTCTCTCTCTCTCTTCCTCTCTGAAATCAATAAAAAATATTTTTAAAAAAGAAACTAACACAACCTTTTGAGAATCAGACATTGGGCTGGATAACATGGAAACATCTGTAGTTTGTGGGACAACAAATGCAGGCTGGTGTGGAGAAATGCAGGATTCAAGGCTAAGAGCTCTCTCTTCCCTAAGGCAAGTGGATTTGTCAACTCCCAAAGATCAACTCATCCATTGCTACTAGCCTTTCTATTGGTATGCCCAAAGCAAACGCAATCACTCACTGTCAGGTGGCTATCTGTCTATTGGGCAATGTCTACAGGGGCAGGGGAATGATCTGAAGACTGACAGGAGGGTAGGAGGAAGGAGGAGAAGAGAAAGAGGGGAGAGGAAAATAGAAAAAGAAGAGAGGGGAAATCTAGGAAGAGGCGTGTAAGTGGGATCACACTGTAGTGAAGAGGCAGTTAACATCTAGAGCCAGAGACCAACTCTATCTCTTATGAGCTATGTGATCTTGGGCTAGTTTTTCATCAGGAAAATGAGCATGATGATAATAACTATCTTATAAAATTGTTGTGAGGATTAAACACCAAACACTTACATAGCACTTACTCTGTGTTGGGCACTGTGCTAAATGCAATGCTATTAACTCATTCCTTTCAACAGTCTTCTGAGGTGGGTGTGTATTAATTTCCCATTGCTGCCTTAACAAATTACCACCAACTCAGTGGTTTAAAACAACACAAATTCATTATCACTCTAGAGATCATAAGTCCTAAAATCAAAATGTTTGCAGAGTTGCATTCCTTCTGGAAGTCCTGAGGGGTGGGGGGTCATTTCCTGGTTTTTTTCCAGCTTCTGGAGGCTGCCTGCCAGCTCATGGGCCCCTTCCTGGCATCACTCTGACCCCTGCTTCCATCTCTGATCTTCTTTTCTGACTCCCACCCTCAAGTCTTCCTCCTATAAGGACCCTTGTGATGACACTGGCCCAGGCGGGTAGTCTAGGATAATCTCCCATCTCAAGATCCTTAACTTAATCACACCTCCCAACCCCTTCTGCCATTGAAGGCGGCATAATCACAAATTACAGTGATTAGGATGTGGACATCTTTGAGGGGCCACTCTTCTGTCTACCACAGCTGCTGTATTATCCCCATGTGGGAAACTGGCACATGGAGAGATTAAGTAACTTGCCCAAGGTCACGCTTTCCCCACCGTATTTTCCTGCTTCTCAGTGAGTGCGTGTTTATAGTGTACTTGGAAGAGTGACTGGCACAGGGACGCAGGAAGCCGGATTAACGCTTACTGTTGTGCAGTGGGTATTAAAGGTAGGCTAAACAAGAACTGCTTTAGTTTTAAGTCAGTGGCACCAAAAACAAAGGCACGTCTGCCCTTGGCTGGCCTGGAAGTGTCCTTGTCTCCATGCATATTTGGAAGGCAGTCTGAGATTTGGAGAAAGGAAGCCCTGCTCCTGTCCCTTGAGCTATGGGTCTGGAACAAGCAGCCCAGTCCTCACTGTCTTTATCTGCAGAACAAGCTAAACACCTTGAGGGGAAAGGGGAGGTATTAAAGGGGATCCCCCCAAGTAAAAACACATGTTTTGCAAACTACTAAAACACCAGCAATGTCAGCATATTGCATATTCATTGAGTAAAAGAAACATTAGTTATTGGTGCTATGATTTGAATTAAACGTGGGACCCCTGAAAGAGGAAAAGATGCAAAGTCTGGCACCTACCACTGCAGGTGCCCTGCTTGTTGTAAAACCCAGGGCCACAGCTGCTCTCACAGGCGCCCTCTCTCAGCACGTGGAATGGGTCCCCGCAGGCCAGGCAGTGTTTCTCCGTGGGACCCCAGCAGGCTGCACAGGACTCGTGGCAGGCTGCAGGCAAACAGCAGAGTCAGTGAACAAGCCATAGCACAAAGGACTGGTCAGTTTCTCCTGGAAAAGTTTTGAAATTTACAAGGAGGATGTTGGCTCCTTCATCCCTAAATCGCTCTGCACATGTATACACCCCAGGAGACTCCCCCCTCCCCACCAAAAACAAACAAACAAAAAAACTATTTATCTTGGCCAGAACTACAATTCCAATAAATTATTGCTGGGAAAAAATTGGAATAGTAAATCAGGAGCTTTTGAAAAATGGAAATCACAGGGAAGGAAACCATAATGTTCTAGACCAGCGGTTTTCAACTGTGGGTCGCGACCCCTTTGGGGGTCAAAGGACCCTTTCAAAGGGATCGCCTAAGACCATCGGAAAACACATATATAATTACATATTGTTTTTGTGATTAATCACTATGTTTTATAGGAAGGTTGAGAACCACTGTTCTAGACGAAGATGGACTGTCTAATAAGGTCAGATGTCACTCTGTCATGTTGCCTTTGCAGCCACACAGCAAAGTGAAAGCCACACAGCTGGAGACACTTCTGTCTCCAGCTCCATCTACAATCAGCTAAGGAAGGAACACTGAGTCCTCCAGTCCTTGATTAGACCTTGAAGGACCTAGTATCGTTTGACCATGTGGCTTTTCCCCTTCCTTTCCATCTCCTCTCTCTCCATCCCTCAGCATACCCTCTCCTGCTCTCCCTCACAACTCCTTCAATCTCCCACAGGCTCTGGTTACCCCCAATAGCATCAACTCTCAGCGTGCACACTGAGGATTCAGAGCCTGCTTTTTCCTTACACTTTAGGTTTCTAACTATATGTTGTTCCCAGACCAACATTGTTCCTTTAAGACTCCAAAATTTCCAGCATTTAATTTTTTATTACTCTTTCAGCTTGCTCTTCACCTTAGAGAGGTCTATTCTAGACTGAGTATATTCAGACATAACTCTCTGTATGGCTAACCCCAGCCTTGCTTTTATTATGCATTCTAATTTTCAAAATGTTTGCTTCACAATGGAACACAACCTGTTTTGCAGACATATTCAGCCTGACCAAAACTGGTGGGAGGAATGACTTAGCTGATTGCAAGTGACTTGGGGATTTCACTTAAGTAATTTAATTAGGTATCTGTTTGGAAACAGAAGAAAGGATAACTACACTGCAAATCTCAAGACCCAGTCCTCTCCTCTCTGTTCTAAACTGCACATGAAAGCACAATCTCAGACAACTTTTCTCCCCAATGAATTGAGAGAAAATGACAATTTGTGTTAAGTGCTAACAGGACTCTGATAAAGAATAACAGTGGTGAGGCTGGAAAGGACTGGTTTTAGGTGGAGCTAAAGGATGAGAAGTAGCCAGCATGGGCAGAGCGAAGAACAACACAAAGGTATTGAGAAGGGAAGGAGCTTGGGGTTCAAGGCTGCTTTCCTGGCTGGAGCTGGAGCTGCTGGGGTGAGGGTGGGGCAGAGCAGGACAGGGTGGACTGACTCATTACTGGAGGTAAGGCAGAGGCCCTATCAAACTTGACCTTGGAGACCATGGAAAGAAATTAGGATTCTATCCTAATTGCAATGTGAAGTCATGAACAGCCTTAAGAAGGATAGACACAAGCCCGGATTTAGATTTTTAAAGGCTCTCTCTGGTTGCCATGAAGAGAGGGCTCAAGGGCTTAAGTGAAGATAGGGAGACCAGTGTGGAGGCAATGCTGTGGTCCAAATGAGAGATACCGATGGCAAGTAGGAAGCAGAAATGGAGGAACATTTACTTATTATCTGGTTTCATGAGACCATAAGCTTCATGAGGGCAGAGCACATTTCTATTTTGTTAACTCCTCACCAAGCATACTGTTTGGTGCTCTACAAACATCTCTTGAGTGTCTTCATTTACATTTAGCATCTCATTGGTATTTTACAAGTGGTACACAGGAATTCTTTACATATTAGGATAACTACTAACACTACATTACAACTAAAGACGTGGATGCAAAGATCCCAGTAACAAATTCTACTACCCTCAGTACACATGAAATCTGTCATGTATTTATTCAACTACCCTTCAATCAGGGCCATAGTCATTGTCTGAAGTGTCTAACACTGTTCATGCCTCTGTCTCACTGGCTGAGGAGTTGATACAAAGTATTTACCTAAACAAATAAACAAAAGAAGCCCAACCTCACGTCTAAGAAGGTCTGCCAGGTTGACCTGTCTATCAGTGCTCAGAAGCACCTACTCTGTGCCAGATGCTGCGCTAGCCTGTGAGGCCTTCCCAGAGCCACAGGTAAGCCTATTACCTGACACCTACAGAGGAAACAATGAACCACCTCTCACTTGAGCACACTGCACTGGTGGTAATGTGCAAACTGCTCAGGGAGTATGTGCCCCAGGGGATGATGGGAATGGAGGCTAAAAAGACAACAGGGGCCAAATCACAAATGTGGGCAGGACTGGGTAAGGACCTTGAACTTCATCCTGTAAGAGTTTTAATGAGGGCAGTGGAAGTGACCGTTTTTGCTTTCTAGACAGTTTGTTCCGCAGTGGGGAGGGGAGAGGGTGATTAAGAAATCTGTGAGGGATAAAATCATCTTAGTCCAGGGGGTGAAGCGGAGATGAGAAAGAACAACTAGCTCTCTTCATGGACTGGCTGATGGCAGTGCAGACACTCAGCTGCGCTGGCTGTTAAAATAGTACAAATACTTCCAATTTGGTTGCTAATTGGTCACTGTCCTGTCCCCTCCGTGACACTCTGGCTTGTCCCTGGAACCTGGCAGGCACCATCCTTCAAGAGGTTGAGGATAGAAGAGGGTCTCAGGTCCTCCCTCCTCCTGACTGATCTGATTTGTGCCATCCTGTGTTAAATATCTATATCTACCTCTATATCTATATCCTCTACTTACATAAAAACCATGGGTGGTGTTCATCATGACCTGAACTGCCGTGACCAAGCGGAAGGAAGTCAGTCCTGCAGGGGTTGTCTTGGCAACAGCTGCACCCTCCCCAGAGCTGTTTCCTGGAACTGTTTCTGGTGAGGGTGGGGTTTGAGGTAGGAACCTGCCCTCAGAGCGTGGACCCACTGAATCCTGAGTCGTATTGCCAAGGGCTGTGCCCTCCTCAGCTGTTTCCCGTGTGGCCTGAGGGAAGAACCCACCATCAGAGCACCAAGAGCACCCAGCAGTAGTCAGTCCTGGGTTGCTGAGGTGGAGGCCACGGCATGGTAGAACTCTGAGTCTGGACCAACAGGGGGCATGGCCGACCTTCAAACCAGACCCTGACAGTAGAAAGGAGGGAACACCATTCCTCACAGAATCCGTTATTGGATAGCTTGCCATCAGTGGCCTGCCAGCCAATCAGCTGCCTCCTGCACACGCCCCACTGGGGATGTGCCTGCAACCAAGGTACATGCCCTTGACCAGAATCGAACCTGGGACCCTTGAGTCCACAGGTCAATGCTCTATCCACTGAACCAAACCGGTTAGGACAATCAATTCCCTTTTAATGTGCACGAATATCGTACACTGGGCTACTAGTATATAATAAAACCATAATATGCAAATAGACCGAATGGTGGAACGACCAGTTGCTATGATGCGCACTGGCCACCAGGGGGCAGACACTCAATGCATGAGTTGCCCCTTGGTGGTCAATGCACTCCCACAAGGCGGATATCCCCTGAGGGGTCCCAGATTGCTAGAGGGTGCAGGCCAGGCTGAGGGACCCCTCCCCCCCAGTGCATGAATTTTGTGCACTGGGCCTCCAGCCTTTAATATTACCCCTGGCATTGCCCATCAGAACAGGGGCCAAGGGGGATCAGGATAGAGGCCACAGACTCAGGGATGCACTCAGGCCCATCACATACTGAGCCCTACAGAACTCTTCATACCTGCCTTCTGCAGCCTCCTTCATGCTCGCCAATCCCATGAAACTGGGTACCCTATGCATGCTATGTGCCTGTCAGAGGTTTTGGATGCCCCACAGAGGATTCACCCAGCTCCTGAATTCCTGTTGACACTTCAGAAGGCCTCCTAAGTTGTCACTACGTCTGCAAAGCTTTGCTGAGCTTGTCCAAACCAAGCAGTTTGGTCCTTCCTTTATGTTTCTGCAGCCCTTTGTACATGCCTATCTTGTTCTGTTTATCCTACTGCACTAATTACTCAGCTACAGATCGATCCCCTTCAATGGAATGTAATATCCTCCAAAACAGGGGCCATGTTTCAGTCATCTTAACCCCAGTGTCAGGATTGACGCCTGGTACACAGTCAGGACTCATTAAATGTATGTTAAATTAATTAATTAATAGCGCTTTTTTTTTGGCTATGGGGAATTTATCCTATTAGTTATCTTCTATATAGTAATGCTTAATTGATGAGTTGTAACGATCAGGTCATAGTCTGAAAATATGATACCTTAAGATAGAAAAACTTGAGGCTATAAAATTTACCTGGTAAGTGTTGGAGCCCAGATCTGCTTATGATGCTATATTTATACAAAGTAACCGAATGTGATGCCAGGCCTTCTTTTTTTTTCCATATCAGACAAAAGCCACGTTCCATGGCCAGATAGAACAGCAGAAGGAATTTTTATTTCTACCCGGGTCTATGCTGAGCTGTCAGTTTTTTTTTTTTTTTTTAGCTGTCATTTCTTATGACATACTCCCACTGTTCTGCAATTGATTTCTAATTTCTAACTGAACATATGCTACTGCAGATAATCTCTTCCTGCAGACTTATTTTATATGTGACTTCTATTACATTGGGATTATTATGGAAAATAAAAGGTCACTCCCTGACTTTTCAGCATAAGTCCTCTTTGTGATACATTTCAGGTCACCCAGGGTTTGAGTGATACACTGAAAATTGTGGCAAATAAATTCAAAAAGACGAAGAATGAGGGAAAGTTATCTTCTTATCTTGCATGCAGTCGATCATTTCTTTGGGAAAGCCCCTGACTCTGCTGGAGCCTAGTTTGCTTTTCGTTTTCTTTTTTTTTTTTTTTTTTTT